TAGAAAGGACTGAAGACAGTAGACAGGATTACAAGAAATTGCAAGTGAAGAGGGAGGTGGCAATGGCCAAACAGAAAGCATATGATGAGTTGTATGCCAGGTTAGACACGAGGGAAGGTGAGAAGGACTTGTACAGATTAGCGAGACAGAGAGATAGAGATGGGAAGGATGTGCAACAGATAAGGGCGATTAATTGAACTGAGTGAAGGTTCAAATGTTCATATATCCAGTGTTAGGCCAGTTGGTTTTCATGCCATGTTGGCAAATATCCAACATTTTTTGTGCAATTGTAACCAACAAGGCTTTAAGCATTAAACTTTATCAGTTTATTGTTTAAATAAAAATATTTAAAATCAAAATTGCATTTTGAAGTACTTGGTCCCAACTTGTAATTCTGATAGTCATCCAACAGATGGTGACATGATTCCATTTTCGAAGCCTGCAGCCAAAACGAAACCAAAATGCACTTTTTCCACTGTTTTTTGCAAGGGTGACTTGCTAATAATGAATGGATTTGATAAAGTGCATATCAGTTTTGATGTTATACTGATCCAGTGTACGCCTCTGTGTGTGTGTGTGCAAATTTACTTCAGTGTGTTCAATGTGCAGGAGGTTTTAGATGCGGTTATGGTGAGTGAGAACGAAGAGGGCTGCTCGTCTTGCTCTTTTTAGGTGTGCGAGGTCCAAATGCAGTCCTGTAGGCTTATTATTATTCCGTTTTATTTTTCTTCTGCCAACACTTGGTAAATGCCAAATGGGTCTATATGTCTTCCAGCTGCCACTGTCTTATTTCCATGTCCATTACTTAACTATAGGTCACATCTAGCACATCTAGGTTAATCAGCATTTTAATCAACTTTTAATAAACACGTTGCTATAAAAGGGTGATTCAATGATTTCTATTTTTTTTAAATTCAGGACTAGGTAAAGATTAGTCAAACCCATGTGCTGATCATATGTAGGAAAGTTATGAAAAACAATATTTAATAGCAGAAACAATTACTACAATAGTAGTGGAGAATGAAGTATCAGTCTGACAGTGATGAAGATGAGGCAGTGGGTTTGATTAAAATTAAAATTAAAATTAGTCTTCTGAAAATTGCAGTACAAGTCAACGTGGTCTAGATCACCATAAATGATCAATAATGTTGTTATAAATCAAAAAGAACCCTGTATTAAATCAAGACTTGAGTAATTAAGACATCATGTGAAATGCTGGCCAGAGATATTATTCACAGTGATTGTGACCGTACTGTTTGTCTGTCAGAGCTACTCCGGCTTAGGCTGCAACTTATTCTTCTGTGGCTCGAAGAAGTTTTCAACAATGGCATCAACCAAGTCGTCCAGTTCCTTCTTCAGGTGTGTCACATCACTGTAATAGAGACCCAGAGAGGGAAGTAAAACACAAAAATAACGCAGTAGTAGCTAATAGTTAAAACATTTATGACAACTACTTTGATAATCTATTGTGGTTTTTTTGTGACAATATGACTGGTCAGCGTCTCCAAGGTGAGGACATTCTGATTTTCCCTGTTTTATATCACTGTAAATGGAATATTTTGGGTTTTGTACTAGTGGTAGGACAAAACAAAACATGTAAAACCATCCACTTAGGCCTTAGGACATTGTGTGCTTACTATTTTCAGCTATATTATGGGCTGGTCTCTACAGTGACCTACCTGTTACCAGGAGCAGCACAGAGTTCGGTGTAGTATTTGACTTTAGGCTCAGTACCACTGGTCCTCATGGTGGCCACACCCCCATTAGAGAAGGTAAAAGTAATCATCTGACTAGAACGGGAGGTGGGAAGAACCTGGGAGACGAGAGGAAGGAGCGACCGATGGACAAACAAGATGGAAACGTTAACTGTCATTTGAAAGACTAGATGAATCATGTGAAGGAAACATTTCACATACACACATTTAAGGCGGCAAATAAGCAGCCTATGCAATCAGTATTTTTTTATACAGATGTTGGCCACTACTGCAGCAATACTGCAATACTGCCATCTGGAACAAAAAGGTTTACAAACTAAAACTAGGAATATGAGTTACTGAATATATGAGATGCCCCGAACCTAATTTTATTTCTATGGAGCTATGTGCATAAAACTCTCCATAGAATCCACCAAAACAATGAAAGCTCACTAGTTCCAACCTAATCTTACTCTTAAAAAGGTTCATGCCTAATGGCAGACAACTTAATGTTCTTGATTTTAAATATTGGACAAAACTGCATGTTTAAAAAAATATAACAAATGCCAAAGGTTGGCTCTGAGCGGATGTGTATGTGTCACTTTGTGCCCTTACAGCCTTGTTATCAGGTTGGTTGCTGTCGTAGCCGGTGGTCAAGTCTCGTACAGCAGAGACTGAGAAGCGACCACACTCAGTGGGATACGTGTCCTTCTGGCCCCCGTAGTTGCGCAGGCGCTCGAACAGACTGTGGATCACATCCTGGTCATGGCAGATGAAGTAGGAGTTCTTACAGATGTGGTAGCCGTATCTGCCAATGACTCTTCATAGATGGTGGCGAGTTGTTGAGAAAGGATTGTGCTTTTAGTGGCCAGATAAGAAATCATTTCTCCTGCTATGGCTGCAGCACTCACCCCATCCTTGTCCCGAACACAGGGACTACACATATATCCTGCAACACACACACACACACACACACACACACACACACACACAGCACATTAGAGGTTCACATGTCACAATTTAATATCGGATTTCTTAGGGAAGACTCCGCTGTGCAGCTCTTAACATTCTCTAATTCGTGAGAGTATGAAAGTTTCCTGTAGTTGTACAGTACACATTGAACTGGATCTGCTGTCGGAAAAAACAAATAAACCATGTTAGTGATCTGGACATATCCATCTCCTCCAGCAGGGAGGCTTTCTCCGGTTGCAAGCAGAGGTTGTCAGTCTCCCTCAGTTCTGTCAGCTTGGATCTCTCTGGTCTCTGCTCTGTGTTTCTCCAGCTGGGCCTTCAAAGAGCTGTCTGTCATGTCCCACTCCTACTCCTTTTTCTGCATGATACTCTTGAGGTGCTCTGTGGTCTGAAGGAGCAATGCCTTGTCTTGCTCACACTTCATAGAAGGCCTCTTCATACAATCAGTCTGGGTCATACAGAGATGTTTGTATTTGTTCAACTGTGTTAAGAAGACTGAGACTGGAGATAGCAACACCGTAGCTTTTCTTCACTGTTCTTTAGTGCTGCAATGAGATTGTTCTTTTCTTGCAGCAGATTATCAAGCTCAGTCACATTAGAAGACCTGGATTTTTGAATTTCATGTGGCAGGGAGGCTTTCTCCTGTTTCCATCAGCGGTGCTCACTCACTACCTCCTCTTTGAGTGTCTGTAGAACATCCTGCAAATGATGTTTCTCTTCCATTTGCATCTCCAGCTGGGCAAAACAACAGCTTTTGGAATTTTCCAGATCTACCCGGAGGAAACACGTCTCCTTCTGCCGCTGGAGATGTACAGTCCTCAGCTGCTGCTCTGCCTCCTTCTGAGAAGCCATCAGCCGATCATTGAGCTATTCTTCAGCATTCAGTGCTGCCTTGACTTTGTTGTTTTCATTTTTTATATTGTTAAGCATTTTGTGTAGTTACAATACTTATGCACTTACTTTTTTTTCCCTAACAGTGTACATGCAACTCCAAATATAGTTTCATAATCATGGTAAATTTATTTCACATGAATACTTTTGGGGCAGATCAGATTAACTCAGCTTGTGACACTGTGGAGATCATTATGTGCACAAACCTTTATAATGCAATGCCACAAAGTATCAATCAGGACCATATCCTAGAATTATGCCACTGAACACCGTCTTTGTGTGTGTGTGTGTGTGTGTGTGTGAATACCTATAGCCTCTTCAAAGGCAAAGAGAACAGTCTTTCCCTGGTCCAAAATGTCTCTGGCTCTGTTCCCCATCCACTTGAACCCTGTTAGCGTTTCCTGTTCAAACAGTGGTGAGAGTAACTATGAAGTGTGGTTTGAAATGTTTACTGAAGCCCAGCTATAAAAGAGTGCATTGATCTGTATCACTAATATCTATTTTACACATTTACTCAAAACTTTCTCTTAAATTATTACTGCTGACAGCATTTTATGAGCCGTTTTTTTTTTGTAAGATAACTTAATATACTGGATATTAAGGTTGTCTTCTTGTAGGAGGTCACAGTACAACTTGATGATGCATCTCTTTAGTTGTTCAGATCACATCAGTTTTAACCAAAAAAGAGGAAACAATGGGATTTCTTTGGCTGTCTATCAGTATAAAACAAGCACAATGAGCCTTATTTATGCAGGTGACAATCTGTCTTTAGGTATTTTATGCCCTGCTGTTTCACATTTGCTACAAATTAGTCATGAACTTAACTGTATTACCTCAAAGTGGAAGCCCTCCTTGACAGCAATGGCACGCAGTATCTTGGATGAGACGGTGCTCGACAGCATGTAGAGGCTTTTCACAGCAGCAGCGTCTGAATTTTGCTGTTTCCAGCAGCGAAACATCCACCAACCGAGCAGCGCTCCCAACTCATTACCACTGAACACTCGCCACTGTCCGCTGACATATAGAGACAGGCAGAGGGTAAACAAGCATGGGGCTCCTTCTTTCTCAGCCAGTGCAAATGACAAAGTCTGCAAAACACACAAACACACATTACACCTTCTGCCAAAACACATCATCTGCATAAGGCTGGAAGTGATGCATGTTGATGTGAGTGTTCAGTGCATACCAGGACTCCCTCTCCCTCCTCAGGATTGGGATATTTAACTGTGGGGAATTCAGGGTCTGGATCTTTCTGTTCCTTTACGGCGTACGGAGGGTGAAGGTCAAAGGCCTTGAAAGCTGACTGCACAAATGCATGACCAACGCCGTGCACAGATGTATGTACAATTTTCACCTCTGAACACTTGTTCAGCTCCCTGTGAAGAAAGAGTCAGAAAATCTTTCTCTTTGAATTTCCATGAACCCCTTCCCCCCCCAGTTCGACTCCATAGTGTTGTGTGAATTTCCTGTATGGTATGCAGTGGAATCTCACACATACATATCAAATGTTAACCTGTAATATATAAGGATTACAACCATCAACAGAACATAGTTTATTTAGTTCAACGTCATGTCTTTCTCTGTCCCAGGGTGTTTTACAAGCTAGGTGCTGCTCAACAGCATGTTGGGAGTGTATGTATAGGGCACCTGTGATGGCAGTGTTTCTGGATGGCTTTGAAGTACTGTGTGTGGATGTCCTGGTAGGGGTCTTTAAGCAAGGGGTTCTTCAAGGCTTCCTCTGCATTCCAGGACTCAGGCCAAGGCTCCAGGTTCTCCTCTATGGCCTTGGAGATTCTTTTGTCATGAGGAGACACAATCTGGGCACCGTTCTCCCAGTACACCTGAGACGGAGACACAGCAGATAGAACACTGAACAGCAAAATCTTATTAATCACAAACGGTATTCAACAAACTCTGAATGTCAGTCAGGGCCAGAGCCAGAAAATCTTCCCACAGGGAAAGAAAAAGGATGATGAATGGTAAATACATAAGAAGTGTTACCTTATAGCCATTGTCCTGTTTGGGGTTGTGAGAGGCAGTCACCATAATACCAGCACACAGACCCAGGTGGGAAACTGTGAAAGGCTGCAGGGCAAAGGAGTGGAATATATTACTTACCAATAAAAATCATATTAGAATATACACTCGTTGGCCACTTTATTAAGTACACATGTACAATCTAATGCAAAACAACAGCTCTGCTGAGAATTTTTTTTATGAAGTTTATAAATTTCCTCTTTTTGTTGACATTGTCAGAAAAGTGAAAAATCTACTTTGAGCTGCTGTGAGAATATATTGTATGGATTCATGCTTGAAGATATACTGATGTAAAGTGCAGACACAAACTCTGGTGAATGCCATCTTGGTAGGTCTTATACTGAGTATAGCCCAGTGAATCATATAGACATTATGCAACATGTGTCATACAAGGAGGAAGTGAGCTTTTTCAATGCCTCCACTAGCACAGCTAACAAACATGATCACCAGACAAACTAATCAAACTTCATAAATTGTTGTTTTCTTTTATTCTTACCCTAAAGGGATGATATAAAGCATGTTTAAATACAAACAGTAAAATGATACTGCTGTGTTTTAAGACATTTTATTATCTGTGTCTTTGATTTCAGTGTAAAAAAAACAAAACAAAAACAAATCAAACTAAGAAATTACAGAAGTTCCACTGATTACCACAAACGGTGTAGGGGTGATGTCAGAGAAGAGGTGGACAGGCACTCCTCGGCTGATGAAAACAGCTGCAGCCAGGCTGGCGAAGCGCTTACTGTTGCCCCCGCTGGAAGGGTGCGCCCGGGCATCGTAACCGATCACAACCCCTCGCTCCTTTAGGTTCCCAAAACTCTCCTCCAGGTAGCAACAGAAACCCTGACAGGGAGGAAAGGATTTGGTGAAATAAGAGAACATCTGTAGAGGAGGAACTGTTTAACATGCATGTGCAATGTAGGAAATTTAACAACGGAAACAGGAAATTGGTAGAAAAGAAATTGCACTGAAATTCTGCAATAATGGATAACAACATGGTGGCACATAAAGTGTCTCATCTTCTTCAAACCACAGAGAACAAGAATCTTTAATGTGTGTGTCTGGCTTTCCATGTGACTTGGTGCTTAATATATGGCAGTAGTTTATCTATTAACTAACCTGTGTGGTCTGGATAATAGTGAGGTCATTCATACATGATATGCCGGGGCCCATGGCTGCTCTCAGACCTGCTGTACCAAACTCCATCCTGGAGGAGAAATATTTATTCAGAGCTTCCACCGCTCCTTCCTTCACCAGGTCCTGCACCAAAGACGCTGTTTTGGGGTTCTGGAGGGAAAAAAAACATATAAAGATTTTCTATATTTATTAAAAACTGTAATGTATTGTTTACAATTGGAGCTCAGGTTAGCAAAGTCAGTACAGTATAATTTCTAATAAAACTTTTAAATTTGATCTAACTTTTGTTTAACTTAATTTACTTTCTTACTTTGGTTCCTTATGATTTAAGTTCTCTAAAAATGAAGATGATCATTTTTAACAACTTCAGATTCAAGTCAGGGAAGCAACTAAGATCCTTGTCATTGCTGACTGACCTGCCAAATGTGTTATGGATGAATGAATGAATGGTCAGTAACATGTCAGAAAATAGTAAGAACTGTACATCACAATTTCCCGGAGCTGAGTTTCGGGTCCTGTTTTGTCTGACCGACAACCCAACTATACAGTTTCATGAGAGGAAGAAATCCAGCAAATACTCAGATCAGAGTTTTTAGCCATTTCATCTTAAATCATCTAATATTTTATGTATGTATGTATGTATGTATGTGTTAAAAAGCAGTAACACAGATGGAAAAAACCTAATTTAATAAAACCTAGAGTTTTTTGTGGACAAACCCATCGTCTCTGTGTATGGTAACCCAGTACTTGTAGAGTTTGTATGAATTTGACCTCTTGAAACCGGAGGGATAATATTCTTTGAGAGCTACTAAAACTTATTAGTGTGAGTTGCATAGGCCTGTATATTGGCCCGGTCATACTAGCCCGGGCGTATTTTAGAAGGTCTTTCGTGTTACATGATTATGGCAGCAGCCTATCAGATGTCAGAGCCGAAGGCTTACTGCGCAGCATCAGCCCTTATTCTGCTGCTCGGAGTGCCATGTTGGCAACTTGGCAACCTTCTCGCTAAATCAGGCGACTTTTGTCAAAAGCGACTAGCGACTTCTTCTGGTGTTTTGGAGACTCTGACGTGAAAGCACGTATCGCTCTGCAGTTACTGCCCTCAACGAGCAGCTGGTGCTGCCGTGAGCCCCTTCCCCGTCCCAAAGTACTCACAGGTGGTCAGTCTCACAGTAGCTTCGTGCGGCAGTCTCAGCTGCAGTTCAAGTAGAGAGGAGGTCAACACCGCTCTGCGTCCAGACAGCAAATGAATTGCGCATGCGCAAAGCCGCCGCTGATCTCGCCCTGTCCTACAAAGCGGGATGTAAAAGTAAATGTTTCTACACTGTCACGCTAAAATAAATCACTGCTGCATTTGATTCAGTCTCAGTCACTTACAAAAAACCTAATTTAATAAAACCTAGAGTTTATTCTCAAAAATACAATAAATGCCTATCTAATCGTACGATTATTTACATTTTCAGTCAGTGATTTTTTACACACCTGTTTACAATAAAACATACGAGGTGGTTGTCCTAATGCGAGCTCATGATACACACCGTGATATTCATATTGTAACTTGATAATAACTTGGTTGTTTTTTCCAAATTGAATAGTTCATAAATTACAAGGCCAGGTAACCGCACATTAAGCTAACTAGCCCGTTAGCTGTGTCGGCTTACCTTGTCATACTGTAGCCACTGCCTGACAGCCTGGTCCAGCTTAGTGTCGCCGGTTGTGGACAACCCGTTTTCCATTTCCATTATATGTTCGACTCCAGAGACGTTCCAGCTCCCTATTTACGACCACCCTGAAGCTTCTCCGACACAAAATGGTTAAAATATAACTGTGTATGGGAGCTGTCCGCGATGCGGGACGTAAAGACGAAATACGTCATGACGTAATATGTCACGGTCACGACGAACATTTGTTGCCTTCAGGGGCTGCCGCCAATGTGGTAATTACGAAGAATGAGGGCTTCACTGACGGCTTCAGCAAGTACAAACATTTATAAAATAATGCCAGCAATGCCATATGCTACCAATATCTTATAGTGATGGAAAGTAAGTTTACTGGGCCAATTCCACATTCACTACATTTTAAAGTGAAAAACAGTAAACACCACCGTTGTGTAGTGATGAGAAGTTCGGATCATTTAATTGATTCGGTTCTTTGATTCTCGTTCAGCAAAATCAACGAATCTTTTTCAGTGATGAACATAAAAAATAAAACGATTAAACAGCACTTGGCATATGTGCATTTGCACTTCTACCAACAATAACATTCTTATTACACTTCATTTCACAAGTAACAATTATTCAGTTTAATGATAAATATCTCTGCCCTGAGTTCCTTTAGCTTTAAAACATTCAATCTACTGATAATACTTATATTGATAATAATGTCCGTTACTTCATCAACTCACCTCCAGATATTTTGGGTCAAATTCTTTAGCTTTAAAACATTCAATCTACTGATAATACTTATATTGATAATAATTCTTTTTTTTCTGTAGTAACTCTATTTTTAATGTTCATGTGTCAGGTAAAGTCCTTTGTCACGTAACATCCTAAGCTAAGCCGTGCCGTGCCGTCTTCTGTGTAGTATACAAAAAGATTTTCCCTGATGAAGTTTAAAAAACATTCATTGCTCCTAATTGAGTTTTAATTATGTTAACATCAATCTTCTCCATATCACCTTCCTATCTTGGTACAAAATTATAGTATGCAGGAAATAAAAAGCTATTTTATAATAAAAATAAATGCAACAATAAGAATAAAAACTGTAAGGACGGTTGAAAATTAACTTCTGTATCCAACAAAGCGGTCATGTCACCTTACAAAATGAACGACTCAAATGGTGTACTAATCTTTAAAAGATTTGTTAAAAGACGAACGACTCGAAAGGTGTACTAATCTTATGCGATATTGCGCATGCGCGGTCAACACAAAATGACCGCACAAGGACATTTCGACATGTGGACCACAAGGCACCGAGATTCGAACCTCCAACCCTCCGACCTTCTTCCTCAATTCTAGTTAGAAATGCAAACTGATACACTTGAAAAATGACTGAAATTACCATAAATTACAATGATAAATATCAAATCCACTGAAAAAAAGACATTTAGTGACAATGACCAAATTATTTTAATGTTTAATTTCCATAAATTATACAACAGAAAATGCAGTGAAAATTAAAGTTTATTCAGTCAGCCCGAGTTTAATGTTTCATTTTCCACCATCTCTTCCTTCTTGTTTTCATTATTTTTTTGGCTTGTGAAGTGGTCCCAAATTTGTCCATTTTCTTTAGGGACTGGCTCTGGAGGCTGCAGTTCAGGTACTGGCTCTGGAGGCTGCGGCTCGGGTACTGGCTCCCAAATTTCCCCATTTTCTTCAGTTCTCAGAAAAACAGAGGATTTAATGACTTATTGTATGTTTTCACTACATGCAGAAGTGTTGCTACTTAAGCACAAGTCATATCTCTCCAAGTAGATACTGTATGTTTAATATACAAAAGCCTAATGCCACAGGAGTGTTAAGCATATCTGTACACATGTAGGAAACAGGACTAAAATTTATTTCGTTTAACATTTTGCAAATATGCTTATTATCTTTGGGAACTAACACTGCATTTTGTTATTGTTAAGATAAACCATGATTCCTGAACCAATGCACACACACTTTGAAACATCATTTTGTGCCTATTACACCACATACTACTACTACTACTACTACTGCTGCTGCTGCTGCTAGTATGAACAGCCTAGCGACAAATGAAGACTGCAGTCATAATGAAAAAGCGGACACGTGGCTTACCTTTAAATTTTAGCCTAATATGTTTATGGAGCTTTAGGTCCTCTGTGTCATAGTAAGAAATGACAGGGCTGTTGGGGTAAACCCCACTAAACCTCCTCCTTTTACATGCCTGAGGAACACATACACAAAGAAGAAGAAGCTTTATTTTATTGTCATTGCAACATTGTGACACGTACAATGAAATTTTGTTTGGAGCCGAGGGCCCAGGGCCACTGCGTACATATGCGCTGCCATCACGAGCAACTTGGGGGTTCAACGTGCAATTTGCTTTCACTTCTGAAACTTTTAGGTATTAATGAAATGTATGTGTGAAAACTGGTGTAACCGGTGGGTTGGCCACACCTATACTGCCCAATGAGCAATTTGCTGGGATGATTATGGATATAAATACCACCCCTGGAGAAGCTGTTGCGATAAGCAATTTCGGTGCTGGTCGCCGCTGTGATTGTTTTGAAGTGAATCTTCCTCCATTGATCTGTGTCCTGTTTTCCCTTTGAGATTGGTTGGGGGATTACAGCATGTTCTCCAAGGCTGATAATTGTAAGCGTGATCCTGCAGAAGTTGGCATCCATGTTGTGCTAGGATGACATGCAGCCAAGGTAACCTGTAGTCTTGTTGGTTTTAATGGTTTTACGCTATTAACAGTGGCTTTACTCTTTGCAGGAGTGATAACCACTGCTGCTTTGCTTATGTAATGTTTTGCTTTGCTTAGCTTGGTTTTGTCTGCTTTTATGTTAAGAAGTATACCTAGCATTATATTTCCTGTTTATTGTATTGTTCCCAAGAAACAAAACAGCTCTGCTGTGAATTTTTTTATAAAGTTTATAAATTTCCACTTTTTGTTGTCAGAAAAGTGAAAATTCTTTGTGCTGCTGTGAGAATATACTGTATGAATTCATGTGTGAAGATACACTATATTGCCAAATGTATTCACTCACCTATCCAAATCATTGAATTCAGGTTTTCCTATCACTTCCATGGTTACAGGTGTATATAATCAAGCACCTAGGCATGCAGACCACTTCTACAAACATTTGTGAAAGAATGGGTCACTTTCAGGAGCTCAATGAATTTGGGGACGGCTGTGGGTCAGGAGGTAGTTATATTTGGTTTGTTGATTTGTGATCAATTAACTTGTGGTGTTTATTTAATGGTGCCTTTCCAACCTGTTGACTCTGACCATTTTTTTCCTGTTCTGCACTGTATTTATTGAGTGGGGAGTAACTTCTTAACCATTGTATTTTAGCTTTTGGGGTTAGGCCTTTTTTAAACATTGTTCCACTGTTAACTTATTGGTACCATGATAGTCAAAGTTAAGTCAAAGTGTTTGTCATATGCACAGTTAGGAAACGTGTTTCCCTGTACAATGAAAATCTTACTTTGCCGTGCACATGAATGCCACACAACACAAGTGAAATATAAACTAGATGAGCAATAACACAAATCTAAATAATCAGTAACACAAAACTAAGGCACTTTAAAGCAGCAGGTAAAGGAAGCAAATAAAAATACAACAATCATGCACTCTGCTGTAGTGTGTGGGTTAATCCCCCGACTCGTTCACTTTTTCCCTCTCTGATTTACAATTCACTAATCTGACTTCAAAACCAGCTTAATAAATAGGCAGTAACACAAATCTAAGGCACTTAAGGTGATAGGATGCCACGTGTGCAATAAATCCAGTCGTGAAATTTCCTCGATACCAAATATTCCACAGTTAACTGTTAGTGGTATTATAACAAAGTGGAAGCGATTGGGAACGACAGCAACTAAGCCACGAAGTGGTAGGCCATGTAAAATCAGAGCGGGGTCAGCGGATGCTGAGACGCATAGTGCACAGAGGTGGCCAACTTTCTGCAGTCAGTAGCTACAGACCTCCAAACTTCATGCGGCATTCAGATTAGCTCAATAACAGTGCGTAGAGAGCTTCATATCTTATAGTGGTGGAAAGTAAATTCACTGGGCCAATTCCACATTCACTACATTTTAAAGTGAAAAACAGTAAACACCACCGTTGCAGTAAGCAGCCATTTAAAAATGAACCTTCCTTCAAAATACTTTCAGTGATTCATTTCACAAGTAACAATTATTCAGTTTAATGATAAATATCTCTGCCCTGAGTTCATTTAGCTTTAAAACATTCATTCTACTGATAATACTATTATTCTTTATTTTTTTCTGTAGTAAACCTATTTTTAATGTTCATGTGTCAGGTAAACTTAACAGAAACCAAAGACATCCCAATAGTAACTCTTATTTCAATTCAAAGGCTGGCTGAAGCTGTTTATTGGAGATGATACACGTGCATACCGTCTGTACTGTAAGGCTGATTTCTGTGTAGTATACAGAAAGATTTTACCTGATGAAGTTTAAAAAACAGTTGCTCCTAATTGAGTTTTAATTAAGGCAATAATGTCAACATGAATTTCTCCATATCACCTTCCTATCTTGGTATAATACAATCCAGTTCACAACACTATGGTTATTTATATGAAAAGGACAGCATAGTTGTGGATCACCTTCTTCCTCAATTCTTGTTAGGAATGCAAACTGATACACCTGAAAGATGACTGAAATTACCATTAATTACTATGATATAGATACTGTATCAAATCCACCGGAAAAAAAAGACATTTAGTGATGACCAAATTATTTTAACACATCATTTCCATAAATTATACAACAGAAAATGCAGTGTAAATTATTGTTGAAAGTTTATTCAAAGTTACACAAGTTTCAAATAAAGCAGACAACTGATTCAATTAAAATTTCTTCCTGAATTACAGAACTAATAAGCCAGGTTCTCATCGGTTTGGTGCACTGGTGCAGCGGGTTTTTTGCCGAATCTTCTATTTCTCCTCCTCTGCTTTCTGTTTAACTGCGACCCCGGCACCTCCCGGGTTACATTCCAGGAGCGACGGTCTGGTCTGCTGTCCCTGTGACCCTCGGCTGGTGTTTCCTTTTTCCTCTTCATCCTCATCCTCATCTTCCTGTTCTTATCTATTTTTTCTCTTTTGCCTCCTCCTCTGGGAAAGTCATCAGCTTCATCCAAAATTAGTTTAGTTTTTGGAAGCAGGGCTCTGGAGGTGGGCACTGGTCTCTTGGGTTTCCATGGTTTTACATTGCCAGTGCTTTCCGGTCGGTTGTACCTTTTGTATTGATCTGTTTTGGGCATAGTTTTCTTAAAGTCACTGTCCTTAAAAAAGATATGGCTGGGGCTAGGTTTGTGACTGCTAGGGGTCTGACGAGGCGTTTGATTACACTGCTGGTTATTTTTATGATGGCTGATTTTCTGTTTCTTCTTTAGTGGTCCTGGAGTTTGAGGGGTCTGAGAAGGGGTGCCAAAACAGCCCTTTTTCTTCAGTTCTGAGAAAAACAGAAACAGAGGATTTAATGACTTATTGTATGTTTTCACTACATGCAGAAGTGTTGCCACTTGAGCACAAGTCATATCTCTCCAAATAGATACTGTATGTTTAATATACAAGGGCCTAATGCCACAGGAGTGTTAAGCATATCTGTACACATGTAAGAAACAGGACTAAAATGTCCATCCATCCATCCATCCATTTTCTTCCGCTTATCCGGGACCGGGTCGCGGGGGCAGCAGTCTAAGCAAAGATGCCCAGACTTCCCTCTCTCCAGACACTTCCTCCAGCTCCTCCGGGGGAATGCCAAGGCGTTCCCAGGCCAGCTGAGAGACATAGTCCCTCCAGCGTGTCCTGGGTCTTCCCCGGGGCCTCCTCCCAGTGGGACATGCCC